CGCAAACGGTAAAGCTCCTTTAGTTGGAGCGACAAAACGTTCTAGTCTGTACTTGGAAAAACATTCATGCTAAGAGTCTGGTGAGTCCTAACAACGAGATAACTAATACTTGACCGCGGTGGCACACATTTTATGTAGATAAGCCAAAATGCTCTGGTCATCTAAACCAATAAACCAACTATACTGTATCTCCCACTATTTGTGACGGAAGACTCATATAACCACGTCTTTCGTCGGATCATCAAGAAGTCGCAGGTTTCGGCTGATAAAACGGAGCCTTCATTAAACGTGAGCGTAGACTGTGTTCAGTGTCAAGCTGGAAATCCGTACTAGAAATACCGAAATATAATAACATAAAAACACATAATATATTATACATATAATATAAGGTAATATGGTAAAATCAATATCAATAAATTAAAAATATAATATAATATAATATAATATAATTATAATATAATATAATATAATAAAATTCGTTTCGACCTTGTTTTGTTTTCAGGTGTGGAAGACAAGTCTTCGGCGGACGCCAATATCGAACTCGGTGGATCGTGATTTCGAATCAACCACACTCTCTCCATGGGTTAAGCCGCGCCGCCCCAGAAACACCTGCCTCAATGAACCACGCGCCGATTGTTCGAAGGTTTGCGGCAGTGGATGCTTTTCATCCCACGATCGTTCTACTTCAACCGATGACAGCATACTCGCTACCCGACTACAGTTCACCTTGCATCATGCTATACCCTCTATGGCACTGACATCCATCGCCACTGCCCTGGGTCTATTGATCAATTTTCTGTCTTCCATTGTGGCCGTCCAGCGCTTCGCTTTGTTCTCCTTATTGATCGTGTTGTGCAATTTTGTTTACGTTGTTCTGGTTGCCCCGATCGTTTTTGTTTTGTTAAGTTCATTGTGTATCTCTTCATCGAACGTCATTGGTTGTGTGGCTAATTATTTTGACACCATTTCTAGTCACTTCTCAAATCTAATCTTACGCGCCCGTTTCTTTTTATCCTCTCTTTTTCTAATTGTCGTTACAGTATGCACTTATATTCTACTGTTCAAAAGAAACCTCACTGTACCCTCCGGTGGAGGGAAGACATCCTTTCTCAGATCAAATCATGTTTTTGAGAGCTTTCTGAACACGTTTACCAACTGGTTCTGGATGGAGCGCAACTTACACCAAATATCTACCCTCATACCTGTTCATTTTGTGTGGGGTTTTCAACCGGAAGATGATCGTTCTTTTTGGACTTTTATCCACAAGCAACCTGTCGAATCGACCCGGTGGATTCCAGACGAAAAACTCAATCTGACCTCAACGGCTGCTCGTGAGTGGTTGTTCAAGTTCTGTGATCGACATCTTCGTCAATTGCCTTACTTGTTTAAGTCAACTGATTTGAACAGTCAGCATTATGGTCTTCCAGCGCTTGAGCTCGCACACTTGAACCCCTACCTGGATGCACCGTTATGGTGTCCCCTTGGGCGTTTCACCAATTCTCTTGACAATTACATGTTCGCTCATGCGTGTACAAACGTGAGTAGCCATTGTTGTCTTGGCTCAACTTCACAAACAATTCTCTCCCTATCTCCATGGCAGTTTCGCCTGTGTCTTGAAGAATACACATCATTTGAACATCATATTTTACCTCGCGAGTTTCAGTCCGGCTTCCGCTTTCCGGCGACCCATTCTGGCGAGCCACTGGGTCTTATTGTGTCTGTGCTTACCAATTTATCCATACTGACCAGTACACATGATGAACTACGTCAAGGAGTTTATGATCTATCCGCTTGGTTCCTTCAGGCTCTCACCACCGCACCCGATTATCTACGTGGTGGTCGTCTTGTATTTCCTACTCTCGGTCCATTTGAGGTGGAAAAGAACGTTACAGAGTACGTGTATTGGAGCATATTGGTCACTGTCCTCTTAGCTGCCTTGTTGGTTCTCTTGAGCACCGGCACTCTATGCCTTGCTGTCATTGCCCTCGTTAGTCTGTTTGCTTGTCTAGTAACTACTGGACTGATGTTAGTTATTATTGACAATTGGTCCCTTGGTATTGTTGAAGGATTGGTACTTAGCCTCGCAGCCGGACTGGCCATCGATCCATGTCTCCATCTGGCACTGTCCGTGAAACGAGTTGGTGGACGATGTTGTTGTGATACCGGTGTTGGTTGGACAAACAGGTCTGTTCGTACCTCTATGTGCATGCTCAATGCGGCAGTTACTGGTTCCGCTGGGAGTACGGCGATAGCAGGTTTGTGTATGATCGCCTGTCACTTGTCCTGCTATCACCAGATTGGTGTATTTCTCTGTGTTCTGATGATATCGTCATGGCTAATGTGTTACGTGATGTTTGCGAGCAATTTGGCTTCTTGGTTCAGTATTTGGGAATTATGCCGGAATAGACACTGACCTTATCTTCCCACTGCTTTTCATTGCATGTACGTGAAGATGCATTTTTTCATTTTTTCGTTGCTTTTGTTTACTTATCACGTTCATTTGACACAAGGGCTTCCACTGTTGTTTTGCGTAACATCTTCCTTTTCTATAGATTTATTGATTTTCCTGTCTTTCTTACCGTCATTCGTTCTTTGTCTAGAATGTCGTTCAGCTCTAGCACCCTTTCGGTGCCAGCTGCTATGCCATCCGAAGGTTGCACAAGGGTTGGGATACTGCCAAGTTGCCCAAGCCTAGACTGGGGAAGTCGAGAGGTCGGGTTCGAACCTTCCGGTCAGTAAATTCGCGCTCTAACCACTTGGGCCATCTCGCCCCTGTCTAGGATGTTGTAGTGGGCAGTTCATATTGCTATCACACGTACCGTTAGACGATGTTCCTTACCTCATGTGGATTTCTCACCTGGGGTAATAACCAGCGCAATCGAAAACGAATTTCCAACTGGAATCTCATCTATCGTTTTTCGTAATTCCGTGCAGAGCATGAGGGTAAGGAGGACATGATCTCGCTATGATTTGGATACATCTTTGGTTTTTCGCTTTTACATGTCTGAGCTCGATTAACCTTGCAGCATCTCATTTTACATGCTTCCTTTCTGTGCCATGTAAGTAACACTAAACGGCGAAAATTCCTTCAAGAAAACTGCTAGTATTCACGTACCTGTGGACTGAACGTTAAGGTGGGGACTTGAGTCACTGTATGGCTGTGCACTCCGTTTGGCCCCTTCATGGAAATTCTGCGGTGACTTGCTGCGCCATGTGCTGTCCATTTGCGGTACGCATTGAAACAAGTCTAGCATATACCTTGATCGGTCGTCCCCTTTAATTTTTTGCCCACAACACGCACGGCCTAACTGCAATAAATTGAATTGATACAGTGATACATCGTCATCTAACACGATTGGATAGTCTTACCTTGACAATAGTAACGTGGTGGCACAATGAGGGAGCTCTCTGCGCGTCCGGCTTTCTCTGAAGGCCAGATCCTTACATGAGCTTTCGGTTCATCCCCATCTATGTTGACCTTTGTGTATCTTTTGGCGGATAAAATGCACACGTAAAGGTTTTTGCAGCTGGAAGATTCGATGTTGGCTAGCAGGGTGGCGCCTTCGTTGTATCTCATGCACCCTCGTGCAATTTCAGCGAACGGTAATTTTGTCCCATACTCACTCGCTCGCTGTCAGTTCTCTTTGACAGCTATTGGAAGGTCCCACTCAACTCCTCATCAGAGCAATCTCCACAACTTCGTTATGATTTGGCTTATACCGCTCGTATTTTGCCCACATCTCCCTCAATGGCGCATCGGAAAAATGATATGTATCTTTGATCATTATTTATCATATCTTCTAGATATAAATCACACAAAATTACCCCACTTAACGGATCTGGTCCACCACTGGTTGTCGTCCGCGGGAGGGGAGGCCTAGATTTGGAGAAGCAGAAAATGGGAATATTGATCATTGGCGCGATTCATCTGAACTTTTGAAGCACTCCACCCTTATTAATGCTTATTTAATTGCTATCCGTTTTGCTATTGATAGCAGACATTTGCTTGTATTGGCGCTTCAGTACTCGTTTGATGCTTATTCGGTGGATAAAATGGCAGTATGCTCCAAAAGTGACTGTATTTGATGCCCTTTCCACGTTCTGTGTAAACTCCTCTGTACACTGAACTAGTTCAAGCATGTACAGGCTCAATATATTCACTAGTCGAAATGCCTAGAAGAGTCGTTGATTGTCTCATCACAATGCTTAACAAAACTGCCCTGTCAAGGATAATATGATAATAGTAATAATCGCTCGGTGTCTAACTGCCATGTTACCCGAAGGTTGCACGAGAGCTGGGATACTGCCAGGTTTCCCAAGCCTAGACAAGGGTAGTCGAGAGGCAGAGGTGGGGTTCGAACCACTGACCTTCCGGCCAATAAATTTGCGCTCCAACCACTGAACCTTCTCGCCCCCCATCGATGAGCACCAATGTAATAAGGTGGGAAGTGTTGACGGCTGAACCGGGCATCGCGTACCGAGGTCTAATCTGAGAGGGTGTGAGGATGCTTATTTGTGTACACTCTGATCATGTAATATATTGTCAGTTGGTTCACGAAACGTGCGGATTCTTCGTCAGATCTGAGCTCCCTCTGAGCCACTGCTTCGGGTGGTGGTGTGAGTCGACCCGATTCTCAATTGCGCAATTGTTTTTTTCACCATTGATGTTTGATAACTGGCAGAAATTGTTATGCATACTTCCAGCAGTCTATGGAACCTTAGATTGGTTTTCGTGTCATCATCTTCACCGGACAAAGTGTGATCCTCTTAGCTGCCACACCATCTCTATTGTCTTTTGATCGGCTTTATACCTTCTTAAGTTTCTTTTGTGGATTAAAAATAAGTAATCGAGCCCTTATGTGGATATCTGTGCATGACTTTCGTTCGTACTGCGGTATCCTTGAGTGTCGTGTTGGAAATCGAAAGAAACAGTCAATTTGTAGGCTAAAAGGCAATCTACATACCCCTCCAGCGTTTGCGGGAATAGCTGCGAAAAAAATGCAACAACTGAAAATCTCTGAAGTAATTGAACGTGTCGGGTTCCTGTTAAGTGTTTATTGCATCCGTGAAGCGTTAATAAAGCAGTAATGCAGTAACCCGGTATGTTTGACTACTTATGAGTATCTTTCTGCTCGTTCAGCTGTAACATCCTTGCGGTGCCTAGCTGCCATGCACCCCGAAGGAAGCACGAGGGCTAAGGTACTGCCAGGTTGCCCAAGTCTAGACAGGGGAAGTCGAGAGGCAGTGGTCGGGTTCGAACGACGGACCTTCCGATCAGTAGATTCGCGCTCTAACCACTTGAGCCATCTCGCCCCATGAGTATCTTTCTTACTGGTCAGAATGATTTGGTCGGGGTTACAAGACATGCAAGGAGAAGCCAGCTTCCATGACATCGTGTAATTCATGTATAAGAAGTTGACAATCACAGGAACGCCATATCTGTCTTAACTGTTTTGCCAAATTACTTTGGACTTATGAGAATGTTGCGGGATTTACTATTTGCTTCGTGGAATGAAATGTCGAAATGTTTGACTTTACAGGCGATTAAAAAAACACGAAACCGTCCAAAATAACCGCCAGAGGTGAGCTGTGGTCACATGGGTCATGCGATCCATTATATTACACTCCCTTTTTCTACACAAAGTACCTTGGAGGGAACTGCTATCGCGATTCGAATTGTCTGGCAATGTGGACCATTCTTTCCGAGAAAAAATCCCCCGCCAAACGAGTAGGAAATACTCAGCCTCTATCGAATGACTCTGAAACTGAATAAGTACCGCACGACTGGATATCAATGTAACCTTTGACCGTGCTTGGCCTTGGACGCTACACCAGCGAAGTGGACTGAGTTTTATTTTCAGAACGGGCCAAAACATGACGTTTAATTATTAGGTTATGGTTGAACTCAACTCAGTTTTTCAGCGTATCTTGCGGTGACTTCTTTATGGGACTTTCTTTTGCCAAAAGGATCACGAGTATACGCCTTTGGGAAGTCAGAAAGAGCAGTTGGGATATTGTGGAAGTAAATTTGATGCATGGCTTAGAGAAGAAAATGTGGTGAAGTCTCATCATCATCATCAGCGGGCGTCAGTGGACTTTTCTTTGAGGAGGTTTGGAGGGGAGCTCCGCATTGAAAGAACGGCTTGGATGAATGGGCTCCACTGAAGGCTTGAACTGCTTGCTCCATGGATGAAAGCTCAGGTGTCAACCCAACGAATGCATATGGGACCTATCTATGCCTCGTCCAAAATGCACGAGGTCCCAGGTGGTTTTATGCCGCACAGGTTTTCTCTTGGATTACTGACAATCACATTATTTACTAGTGGTGTAACGGTGATACTACTGATGGGAAGGCACGCGAGTAGCATTTGTTGCTCGTAGAATTTCGCTTTTTGAGAAGGGGAGGTCTGTTGCGGAATTCGTGGAGTCGCTTTGTAACATTTACTTGGATTTGAGGGGGGAATGATTGGAGTCAATGAATATCCAGAAAAGTTCAAGAAGACGCGTTCAGAAGATGAATGTCCAGCTTTTTATAAATAAGATGCAAATGAGAGCTTAGCTTCCTGTCCAATGGTCTGTAACCGGTCAGTTGGCATTTCCTAACAAATAACTCCGCAGCGAAAACCTTTTTCCTTTCAGTGGTAGTTGTGTCCTAAATAATTTACTAACATCGCGCTACTTAGAAGAAGCGGAGCTTTTTCTTCATTCTGCTCAAACAAACAACACATCCAAATAAGAAACAATGTGAGTGCTTTCAGTTGGTACTTCTTATGAGATGCTGCGGTCCGTGGGCGTTGGTGGCATCCCAAAGGACAGACAAAAGGTAAACACGTAATGCTCTTTCAGAAATTGGATAACTAAGAATCATTGTGAGTTTACAAGATCCTGAAAGTCCGTGGGAAAAAACCCAGGGATCTAAATAGCTGTTTAGGGAGGAATAGTAACTGCAACACAAAAACTATAGATGATGTTCTTTCGAGGACTACTGGCCACAACGTTGGATCCGGAGGAAAGAATTGCAATTTGAGATAAAAATATTTCAGACTCATCCATGGTGGTTTAGAGAAAGCATATTCTTCTATTTTACACGTACGGTTCCCTGGAAAGTCTGCCTGGCTTTCAGGGCTTCGGCAATGTTTTTACAGTTCTAGTTTATTTCCGCTATATTGCGCGTTTTGTAAATTGTGAACGACCCTGGTGCGACAGACACAAAAAATATTCCAGGCCACAAGGTGATGACGTGGCTCTTCGGGTCATGGTATGGGCCGGTTTCACGTTCCTCCGCTGAGGTTACCACCAGCTAATCCGTCAACAGTGAGAATACCGAAGTGGATACATTGAAGATATCGAAGCTCATTCCAAGAGTTGAAATCAGCGAGGCGGAAGTGACGCAGTGCAGCTCACATGTGCGCATTTAGCCTAGTCACAAGGGCGGGTTGGCCATCGAACAAGAGGAGTCGCAACGATGAACGGAGCCAGTCCAGCTGAGACTTCCAAAATCCTGACAAATTACCAATTCGCTAATTTCGAATCATGACAAGGAGTACCAGTACGCACCGATTTCTGCACACGGCGGAATCGATATTTCTTCCCTGAGAGTTGTTTTTCACGTAAAGCAACCAGTATGTGACCCATCGTGAATTACAGGAAAGCCCACGAAATTTTAGATTAGCAAAGCGGTCAGAAGTTAGGTGGTTGATCGTAGGTTTGTTTGAACATTAATATGAGTGTGACGGAGGCGTCACATTTAAGCAATGAAAACGGTAAGCAGACAATCTGAGACAGAAGTATCGTAAGAATGAGAGGAATTTAAGCTTCCCTTTCAAACGCATGCGGTATCTCGATTTGTTCCCAAGTGGTCAATCACATTGGTTGGTAAAGTGGTTGGTTTTCCCTCCGCCCAGCGGTTACGTTTTGGTCACAAAGTGTGTGAAATTCGTGTCGAACTATTACTAATGTGATTTTCGACCATGTGTCCATCTCTATGGAAAAAGAAAAGAAAGCGTTCAGCTGTAGCATCCTTCCGGCGCCTAGCTGCCATGCCACCCGAAGGAAGCACGAGGGCTAGGATACTGCCAGGTTGCCCAAGCCTAGACAGGGGAAGTCGAGTGGCGGAGGTCGGATTCGAACCACGAACCTTCCGGTCAGTAAATTCGCGCTCTAACCACTTGGGCCATCTCGCCCCTATATCTATGGCGTATCTCTGCAATACTCTGAGTACCGTTCGGACTGCATTCATTCATTTGGCATATACCTTGAGCTAGATATGGCTCCATTGTTAAAGCGCGAACTTGCGGACTGGAAGGTTCGTGGTTCGAACCCGACTTTTGTATCTCGACTGCTCTTTTTCAAGCTTGGCAGTGTCTCGGCTCTCGTGCTCTCTTCGGATGGCCTGGCAGCTATGCACCAAAAGGCGTCTACGGCGTAAAAGTGGCACACTCTATTCGTCAATCCAGCTAGGAGACGCATCAGTCCTTCAACACGAGTAGTAATGCTTCCCGCTTCTCCGTATGCAGAAAGCGCTTTTAACTCGAAGTCGATCATGAGTGAAAGTATCGAATGAGTAGTCTGCCGTGCTTCCTAGTCTGGACTGATCTATGGATTCCTGCCGCTGTTGTCATTTGTAATGGTTGGTGTCCATTTCGCACATGGCATTCCACCAGCCCTAACATACAAGTATATTACTGACGCAATCGTCAAAGTTGAGGTGAGGATAAATAGGAAGTAAGTTTTTCATGCATTTCGCCACGGTCATCTCCCACTTCTCTCACCATAGAGACTGTGTAACTTTAACAACAGAAAGAAGGTTTCTCCCAATATGGAATGTGTAGGACTAAAGGCTGCGAAATACGGACCCTGTTGATCATGTAAATTCGTCGGGGATGGATTTTATACTATTATGCAAGGTGCGAAGAGTGCTTTCATTCACTCCTATCAATAAGATGAAACGGCAATCTGACCTAGGCTGATCGTGTATTTGACTATGCTCTACGAACAGTGTTGTATCTGTGTGCATACCAATTGATAAGTAATGTCTACTTTGGTAGAAGGTCACGGAAAGCATGGATGTTGTCAGGGTGCCCCAGCTTTCAGGATTGGGTCTATGTGGTGTTTGTTGAAGGCACTGTGGACCGATAGTCTGCCGTCATTTTCGTCAAAGTCATGAGCGACGAACCAGTGCTACGTGGGTTTACGAGCACGCCAATTTGTTCGAAGCGTTGATGTGAAAAGAAGCCTAAGGGGGTCCCAGTGTCATTCTTCTCTCACATTGTAGATATTCATATTTCCGTCATTCAGGTAGAAAATCTGGATGCAAATTCGCAATGCAAAAGCCATTATCGCCATATTTTGGTATCACGAGCCAAGTACAGTAAGCGTCCTGTAGCGTTCGTCATTATGGGTGAGCCACGCTAGTACTTTGGACGGCTTGGATTAAACCAACAGCAGGCTCCTCCCTTTCTTGTTTTCCTACGCGAACCAAGGACTTCATTAAAGTACGTTCGTGCACCAGCGAATTAACAGTTTACAACATTAGCCTATCGTAAAGGATGTTGTGGTCAATATTGCCTACCTCCAGTTGTCCAGATGGGCTGTGAGTAATGGGCACCACTGTTGTATGGTCTTGATAGTGGACCGAAATTTCACCTGCACTTAATTGATACTAATCCGACATGCTTGTGTACAACTCCCAATCATGGGGTCTCTAGTGCCATGCATAAACCGTATATCCTCAAAACATGCTGGTTTGTCAAGTTACCTTGATATCCCTCATCACAAGACTAAAATGCTCATAACTGTTGTACACCACGTCCTGCACTGCTGAGTTCCTTATTTCATGGTTTCCAATACTAACAGTCAAGCTTTCCATCGTTCATAGTTTTTCTGTTTTACAGTTTTACGTCAGACGGTTTATTTCAAACGAAAGCAACAAATGTCTGGACAATTTCACGTTCACTAGTCTGCTTATGACTCATCATCGTCGTCCTCGTCTTCGTCTTCGTCCTCGTCATCCTCGTCATCTTCATCTCCATCCTCCCCATCTTCTTCTTCACTATCCTCTCCCCAAGGCCATTCTCCGGTTTGCATGTACTGTTTCCACTGGGGTATTACTCCCATCTCCTCCATATCAAGCATGTCCAACTGCTGACACAATACACACCAAAAGTCCATCATGCACTTGTGATAGGCCAGCGGGTCACGGCAAGTGTAACAACGGTAAAATTCGACCGGACAAATGAGACAGAAATAGGTAAGACATGCACACACCGTACGTGCTGAGGCCATGGCTGGCATGATAGAACGTACGACGCAATCGAAGACGTTGGGATGGTAGACTTTCAAGTGCATTTGTAGCCAGTCGTCGCAACAGACGGCGAATCGCCAGCATGGTACGCAAATACAACACATTTTTTCGTGTTCCACCTGTGATACAATTTACATCAGACTTCATGTGGTTGTTGTATGGTAAACTATACTGACCTGCTGTGTTTTATTGATTTTGATGTTCAAGCTGGATCGGAAGGATCACGTGAGGATCACGGTTGATGTAGGTTGGGAAGACTGGAGCTAGATGCCCTTTTGCTTAGACAGATAGATGAGGGGTAGACAGTTGTCTGACTCGCCCATCTGTCTGTCTTCTGGCATGGTGGTGCTGAGCGCAGTGATTCACTTCCCCGAGGTGATGAAACAGTGCTATTCCTTACTGCAGTTCCTTACAAAACCGAAAAAGCAACAGCTATCCTAGGAAGTTCACGCGTAGAAGTAAAAACCAGTTTAACCGAGAATTGTCTTGCAAATAATCCTGATCACTCATGCGTTTACTAATTTGTGCTGTTTAAAATGGATCAGTTTCATAGAGTACCACACGACATACGACAACCGTAAGAGTACATTTGAGTTGTAGGCATAATTGGTCAAGTTTTGCACTTCAAATATTACAAAACGGTTACAAGTATCCGGTAATAGTAAAAAATCCAGATGCGCTTCAATACGGACGAAGGTATTCTGGACACGAAACAGTACAGGGGGATGTAAGTGTCCACTTCTGGCTAATTGAAAGATGAATCTCAAGGCCACTTTGAAAATAACAGACTTATAGATAGACAGTCTTCCACTACTAAGCTTTTTTGCCAACCTAAAAACTCGGAACTCTTTTTCTCTTGCATCTGAGATCAAAATTGATTAGGGAAGAGATTTCGAAGAAAGATCGCAATTCAAAAGAGCCTGGTGCTATGGATGGCTGTTGTACTTCATTCTTGATTGAGCTCACTGGGCAAAACTCGGTTCTTCAGTTTTCACTGAAGGCTTTATCTACGTGGCTGGGCCGCTTCACAATACAGCACTCGTTTATATGAATACCCAGCCGCAAACTGCTAAGAGTTCATTTAGGTTGCACGATTTGAGAGTATACCGTCATATATCAATCAGATTTCCTTAAGAAAGACGTCCTTGTAAGCAGTAGGAAATAGCCTACTGTATTTTACTAAATGAATAAGCAGGAGAATCGAATAATTACCCGGAGATGATTTTGTTTGAACCTTTGATTTATTTAGTACGCCAGGTCTACACAAGGTCACCGAACTCTGATCATCGGTTGGAGTCCTAAATGCAAAAGTCCGTCAAGACAAAGGTATACAGGAACTCAGGTGTAGAGCACAGGATGGAAGACGCTTTTCAGCTCTACGACATTCTGGTTCAACAGATTCACACAAGATTTTTTGACAATAGCGCTACAGAGTCCTTAGTGAAGAACTTGCAGTATTGATAGTAAATTATCTAAGCGTCTTTCAGATTTCAGACAGCGCTTTATTGCAGTTTTCTTGTACAAGTTTTGCTTTGTTTGGCAGCAGCTGCTGCGTCACAGGTTTGGATTGACAGATGCAATTTACCATCAAACCTTAGCGGAAACTCTCGGTGTTCTGGAGAAGCACTAGTTTGATTTCAGAGCTTACAGCTAACAACATTCAGAAGGACTATGACCATGGAGATGTGCAAGTTCTCTTTTGGAGAAAATCGCTTTACCCACGGCTCCATGATCCAAGCTGGCGTCCAACAGTTCCAGGGTCTGCTACAAGCTCCGAGTAAGCGGTCGAAGTAGCTCAATTCTATGAATGATGTAACATGAAGAAGGTATCTTCAGATGGGCGGAACTGTGTGAATTTATAAAACCAAGAGCTAAGAAAGCAGTGAAACGGGGATAAACAGAGGAATAGAAAACTGTAAACAGCGGGCATCTGAATGGAAATTTCCCTTGGGAATCACGAGGTTTCTGTTAAAGTGACCTCATTAGCTCTTCTGCCACCTGGATGTTCAGTGTTATATAAATGGTATTTTTGAAGGAAGTTCGCAGTGCTCATTGTCATGTTAGTATTCGGAAATTTTCAGGATGCTGTCTGGCAATTATCTTGAACGTACTTGAACTGGGGAGGAAGATTAATTCAGACACATCGTGGGGAGCATACATGCAGTACTATCTCGTTAAAGACCAAATGCATTAGACAGATGTCTCTGAGATGAAACTGAGCCCACTGATACTGCACCGTCGTTGAGGTTGTTGCACACTGAGTCCAGGGCAGTCCCAGGTCTGGACTACCTGACCGTCGAAATTCATCCTAGAGTTCTGGCTATGCATGTGCCCGTGTGTCAGCAGTAGTGTACTTTGCTGGACTTCAGTTAAGACCACACGAACCCGGATTAAGTAAAAACGAACAAACCAGCAAACGAAATGATATAATTTTGCGTGGCGCATATGGTGGTGTTGTTTCGGGACAATGGGCGAAAAATCCGCAGGTGGCTCAGGTACCTTCGTTGTGTGGGGCAGTATTGCCTCCATGTATCCATCTGGCAATGGATGTCATTAAGATTATTCCAAGCCAATCGGATGCAGGTGATACAAGATAAATTCCGCGACATACATCATCACCGAGGAGACCGAATGTAGAGCAATTTGTCGATGACTGAGGCGAATCTTTGGCAGGGACCAGAAAAAATCGATTTTGAAGTGAGTAAATACCAGAATAAAGTTAAGTTAACTTCTGACCCATAACATGTATGGTACATTATCGCAGCTGCATTCCTCAGAAACTTCCAGGAATGGTCACCAGAGGCAAACAACAAGGCAGAATTTCCGGTCCACACATCTTGGCTCACAATAACTAAGCGGACTTAAACTGCCATGCCAAAGAGTGCATGCTTTTTCTGAATTTAAGAAGCCCTGTCTATAGGTGAAGACTGCTGTATTGTGTATTGTTTGTCTTACGACCGATAAGAGGTATAATAGGCTGGTGAAATACGAATGCTTACGTTTTTCCACCGAGATCGGAGATGATTTCGACTTCTCAAATATTTGAATGTCAACATTTTGGAGTACAGTTCTTTGAGTCCAATTGGGTAGAACAGGTAAATACCAGTATCATCTGAAGCCTCATATTGTACCATTCCAATCACGTCCCCACATACAACTGCAAAGGAAGCCGAGATTAGTAGCATCTTGTATCGTTTCATTCTTGAGTAAAGAAACTGGAGCTTCAAGGACAAGAAATAATTACTTCAAGAGCAGTAAAGTCAACGGCTTTGTAGTCACATTTAGATCACTAATTATTTGTGGTTGTAGAAAGCGAATCAGAAATCAAGAAATGAATGTGCCGTCTGATTTCAATGCGGCTGAGTGCTATTGAAGTTTTAGGGCGCGGAGCGACATTGTCCATAGCAGGGACGAAGCATTTGCTAACCGCTATCTCAGCTCCATGCACATTTCAACTGTCACCTGACCGATAGGTGATAAAGTAGACGAACCCCTCAGATATAGTGCCTGTATTGGTGCCGCCAACTTTTACCTCAGTAAAAAACGGTTTTAAAACCACAACAGCTTCCAGAATGATTATCGGGTTGTTCAGTTGAATTTTTTCTCCTGTTTTAAGACATCATCATCATCATTGCCAGCTGTAATAACCGCGTACTCGTCGTACGGTGGTTGTAGCTGCCGCAGTTTCGTTCACCGATGATTTGGGGGGNGGTAGCTGCGCATTGCAGGCGGGAGCTGATAAATTGGTGCATAAATCCAGCACTGTCAGTGGGCTGTCAAGTGGGGGTGTTGGAAAAGGGGCTATGCATTGAAGGCAATATCTTGGATGCACAAGCGCCATTGAAGGCGCGACTGAGCCATGTCTGACAATGTCTCTAGCCATTGATGTGGCATGCAGCTAAATTGACGAAATGCAGCAATTTACAAATTACGTTGATTGATAGAATCGCTTGCCTTCAAATAGATGTGTCGCACAAAGATCACCTCACGACTCAGCCGACAGCATACCGGGATGAAGTTTCTTGACACGCCACAAATTCGTGTGATGGTTTGTAGATAAACGTAGTTTGGTGATTTGGTATCATTCTGTTGTGTACCAAGCTCACGTTTCTTGCACTAGAAGAACAAATTCACGTCTCCTTGTAATTACTATGTATTTACCTCAAATCAGCCACATACATATTGGAGCCACATAACTTGAAATAATGTCAGTACAGAGCCCTTATCTGAGAAGTTGCAGATACACTCTACAAGTAGAACTCTCTGGTGCCTGTTTTTGGATACTGCACGCAATGTGGAATTAAAGACCATACGTTCAGTTTACCTAATCTAAATGGACTCAGTTTGCCGGAGAACCTGGTCGAAAAGAAAGTGGCGTACTGCGTATGTTCGAAATACTCACCTCCGAAGGTCCGAACATTAAAATGATGTCATGAGTCAAAAATTTTCCCTCGTGACCGAACAGTCAAGTAAAGGATGAGATGTGGTGCCGTAAATGGGGTTTCTACAATTGAAGTGCCTTCTGGCAAAGGTTGGCTCCGAAGCTGAAACCTACGCCTGTCCGTTTTTTTTACTAATTTATAGATGTCAGACCTGGAAACTACAGTGCGGAGATATATATACAATCTTCAGATGTTCGATCCCCGATATCAGAGATTGGTAATCAAAACAAGATGACCTTGTTGAGTCTCCGATGAAAAATCACACGATAGCTGGCAGCAATCATTCTAAAGATTACTTCGTGAATCCCATCAACTCAAGTTTTTGTCGCAGTTTTTGTTGTCTGTGGGAGCAACTGAAAACCTGATTGTCTGCCGTCATTTCCGAAGCTGACTATCATGGTTTCTAGGTTTTTCACGGTATCCGTCTTTGGAAACAAAAGTGAGCCACCATTGTACGGATCTTTCTGCGGCCTGTCAGGTGGGGCGAATGCAGAGCAGGATATTCAGAAAATTGGCTTACCCTGAAGGAAGAGTCAGTTGCATTAATATGAATTAAGTAGTTACATGATAAATAGAATGAGCTATACATAATTGGGATAACTCAGTTGTGGAAATCATCTAACTAATCAATAGGAATTTCTGGTCTGAACCATCGCATGTTCTTTTCAGTTTAAGGATATGATAATACTTCTGTAATCAGCCTAAATCCTAGTATCTCAGTATCTTCTTGCAAGGGCTTGTAGCAACCCAGTCACCCACATACTTGACTGTTCAGCTCACAGTCGCTCACTTGATCACGAGACTTGCCTTTTTCCATACTCACAAACCACGTCACATTAAGCGGACTCGTCGGACATCGATTGTCTACACCGCCTAGTGAGCGTAGCAACTACTCATGTGCTAACGCGCCCACGTACGCGCAAACGGACCTAGATATAAGGAAATCAAACACAGTCGGCACACAGACTCGCGCGCGCGCGCAGGGAGCAGGGAGTCAACCCCTCCACAAGTCCACGGACAAGTATGGAACACGTGTAGCAGTCGCACTGCGGAGAAAAACACGTTCCCGTCGTCCGAACTTTCACCAAAGGACTCTCACATACGATAAGTTCCTTTTTGACTCGCTCCCATTTTCGCAATGCATTCATTTTTATACGTGTCACAACCCACCACTGTCAACCATGCAAAAAACTTTTATTAGTGCATACGCCTTCTGATTTGTATTATGGCTATCACCACCTGTGCACTAACAGGCTCCCTCCACAGTGAAGTGGTCTTCTTCGCAAAGTTTCCCGCCGATCCGGAAGTGGTACGTGATTTCCTTCATGAGAAGCAACCGTCTAGGAGAAGTCAGTGGGGATCGTTTGGCATCTCCCATGGCGTGGCTTCAATTGGGATGGACGGGTTTCCAGTAAAACTCATTTCTATAGAAGAACTTTTGTCTGCCTTTTCAAGATAGTGGAATCTTCTTAGAGAAGACTTTCCTTACACAATCACAATGTTCTTTTTCCATTTGATGGTTCTCCTTGGCCAACCATTATATTAGACGCTGTCGACGTTGATGCTGATGAAAGTGGTCTGACTTTCATTCCATAAGATATGAAGTAAATCTCAAAGCACACAGTGATGGGACATTTATTGAATGAGATAAAGTTGTAAAAACACATGATTGTTTACTTACTTAATAGTCTCTCTATTTTAGTTTCTTTAGGCGTCGGACATTCAGGGTGTTGCTCAAGAGCGTCTTCCACAATCTTTCGAATGGCTGCTCGAGATAGAACGTAGCTGGCTGAGTTATAGTAGGGACCCATTGGGGGCTCCTGAAACAAAGAAGGAACACAAAAATTAACAGCGGACCTGACGTATCTTGGTAAACAGGAGAGCGTTTCGTGTCACAAGTGAGATGCACTGTACCTGTTCAGTCTTTCTAGACAAGAGTTGAAAGCATGCACATCATGTATACCCGCTGATCTACGACCATTGCGCATATAACAATTCCACAAAAGTTACAGTTAAAATTGTCGAAGTGTGTAAATTTCACTATCTCTGATGGGCTCGAAAGTGAGGGGAATATCCGGACGCAGAACAGGAATGACTTAGTAAAGAGACAGCCCAGCGCCAACTTGTTCAATATCCAAATCTTAACTGTTGCTGAAAGCGTTTATTCAAGTGCAGCTTGAAAGAATCCGAAGGTTGTCCAATCACGAGTCTTCCGTTTAGGGCCTCACTGCCCCATCTAAACCATGTGTGTGATACATGCATCAATTATGAGGTTGTGAATTGTTTGAGTCGGGAGGTTTGGCCGATCAAATACGGTTTTACTAATCCTTACTATGGTAGACGTAGTGTTTGGTTAACTTTGTTTTTCTGTTGCTGAAAAGCAAACACACGGCCCGAATATAAGCATGCTCACCTGCACAAACGTGGAAAGTGAGGTACGTCCAGCAGGCGAGTATGGAGTGGCTGGCATATTCGATGTCCTGGGTTCAGACTCCGGGAAGGCGGAGAAAATACACCATTTTTGAGGCCTAATAAGCGCCACATTCGGTTGTGCTGCTTGCTCCTCTAGGTATGGACTAGCCAGAATAATTAGATCAGGACAAGAGGGAGACTGCTTGGTACAGGGGTGAATTATGTTGTGTCGAATATACAGAAGCTTGGAAAAACGCTGATTGATCCAGGCCAACGTCGAACAATTGCGTGGGATTATTGGTTAGACAGTTAACAAAGTGCTGAATTAGAGAGGAAGTTTTATGTGATAATCTACTGTTGGGTAACTCTACTCATTTGTATATATAAAAATAGCCCAAGAAAGTGAGGTTCTTGATTCATTTTACCCTGCCCCTAAGAAGAAACCTTCCTTGAAGACGCTTTCTCGATGTAAAGAGACACTTTTCCAGACATCTGTGTAAACTTCGCGGTTCCAAAAGTGTGTCTAAACCTTCCCTAAAAGCACTTTGGACAGACAAGCCAACTACGCTGGGCGTTATCCGTTGACGTTGGACGTTAACCAAGCACAGCCACCAGCCACAGCTACGCACGACTAAGCTCCATAAAGACAAGTTAACTATGTAATATACAATCTCATGTCCTTTTGAGGATACGTCAGGTAAACCTCTTGGACATTATTACATATTTATTACAGAAATGAAAAAAATCGTTCGTTGTCTCGCTGCCATGCCACCTGAAGGAAGCAAGGGGGCCAAATACTGCCCGGTTGCCCAAGCTTAGACAGAAGTCGAAGTGCAGAGGTCCGGATCTAACCACGGACCTTCCAGTCAGTAAATTCTTTTTCTATCCACTGAGCTATTTTGACTCCTTACACAAACGGCAAGCAATTTCCACTGAATGTCGGACAAACCTCGATTACGAAAACGTTTACCTTTCAACAGTCACAACTTCAATTAACTCGGCGACATGTTTATCCAAATAAGATTCTCCACTTCTCTTGTGTTTCAGGCGCCTAGGTGTGGGAGTAGTTCACCTCCATAAACTTTAGTGCTTAGTTGCTAGAAACTTCCTTGTGTCTGCCTTTGTTAAGACATTGTGAAGCTCCCACATTTTCTCTCCTTATTTGTTACTCCAGCCCTACTTTTGTGTAGTTTATGTGCACTTTCTTTGTTCTACCGACTTTGTCTATTCGAGGTCACTATGTCGCTTATGAGCGCTCCTCTGTATGCATAAAAACACACGTGTTTGAAACTGTCCTTCACACTGTTTACAACACCTTTGTAAGCCAAGTTGATCACCAGCTGATGGGGAGAATATGCGGCCAAGTTTTGTGTATTTTTATGTTTTATATCGTTTTTATATCTTTTTTGTTAATAGCACTGTATGGAAACTCCAACCCTGTTTTGCCTATTAGGAGGTTCTGATAATATGCGTCACTCTTATCAAAGACTGTTATTCCTATCTTTGACCACTGTTTTATAGGTTAGAGTCAGATGTCACTTACTTGAAATTTATGGCCCATAATGTGCGGTTCTTCCGGTAGGTGGGACTGCATTTGAAGCTGAAGATTTTCCATTACCAAGTAGGTTTGTGATTCCGCATGAAAGTAGAAGTCGTAGAACTCCACATCAGTGTAAAGACGGTGAATAACCGAATTCAATTTTGACCAGGCCGCATTTGCACCGGCTAGAGATGTATGAAATAATAAGCTATGTAACCTTTCACGAAGAAAAAATACACACGAATGTAATCAGTAGAACAGTGTATGAAACGAGTGATGATATTCTGAAGTTCCCAGCCAGCTGGACCGTAAATAGAACAACACAGCACCCAAGCGTTTCGTGATCTCCTTCATACTTCTCTACCAAGTCAAAGGTTGGTCAGCTCTCTGGTTACGCCACTCCGAATTGGGCATGGAAAACAGCACTCTCTTTGGCAAACGATGGTTCGGCATACGTAACACACGTCCCAACCAACGCAGCTTCTGGTGCTGGACACATTCTTCAATGGAAGTAACCGTTGCACAACCGAAAAGGCGCCTTCTAACTGTCTCGCTACGGATTCGCCGACACCAACCCACACGAGCTATGGTTCTGAGACAACGATTATCGAATACCTGAAGACGTCTCAGCTCCACTGCTCGAATAGGCCAAGCCTCACAACCATACAACAAAACAGCCCGTACTGTAGTTTGGTACACACGTCCCTTGAGATCCAGGAATAAACAATTCTGACGCCATAGGTGTCTCAAATTAGCAACAGTGGCCCGAGCCTTTCAGATTCGTGCATTCACCTCATCTGTCACACTACAATCAAAACTTATTTCATATTGAAGACAGTTTTCTCTACTTAGTTCGCCTGACTGATGACGTCATGCGCTCCACCTGTGCTGGTTCATAGTCCCTGTGTGCAGGTCACCGAATCATTATTCGCTATTTAAGTAAACTATATCTTACGCTTTTTATTCAGTCTGTTTCAGACTCCCTCTGCATGTTCAGTAAGCAGTTATTGGATTGCTTCGCCTTAATCTTTGTACACTTATTCCGGTCTGTGCAACTCTCAGATTATATGGGTAAAAATAAACAGTAACATCTGGCCGTTGCCTTATTCCGCAATATTTATCCATCTTTTATACTTTAAGACCGCTAAAACCCACACTAAACCGTCCTAGAATCAGGTAAAGTTGTGCCGCGCTCGACACAAAAAATTCCTTCTTCGGTAGGAAATACTAAGCTCTTCCGTAGTAACTAACGGGTGGTCCCCTGACTTCAAAGAATAACTGAAATCCGTAAATGAAAAAAATTATGGGCAAAAATCTTTCTGAGCAAATTTATGCAGATTGTTAGTTTTTTTCGCTGATTACTAATAGAAATCGCTAACCCTTGAATTGTATTCAAAAGTGATTCGTACATCGCTAGCGTTGTCAGTCAACTAACTGATAGGACCACGGGACTCTCATACTCCATGTTAGTCTTAGCCAATAGGGGAGTGAACTGTAACCATCACATTCAACCTGAATAATACCCTTTTATATTTCGTCCGAATTACTACTTTCTATATCACGTCTGAGTTCGGTGAAGAGAAATCGAGAAGACCTCCAACTGCATCTGACTGAGGTTATTCTCGTCGCATTTTTTGGCGACGATCCGCACTCCTAGTGTATTAGGACATCTAGTTGTTGCCTAGGTGTGAACTGATGGTAGTGGATGACACCGAGGATATTTGAGTAAACAAGGTCGCAGCGGAATATGCTGGGATAGGCTGCAACCAGTAAAGATACCAGTAAAGACCAGGGTGCATTGTTTTTATTTTTCTTGTGGCCACTTACAAAATTAGTCTCTGTTTGCCCTCTAAAATGATGCTTTATTTTTCCTAATACAAAAGAAATTGATGACGAATTTTTCGCTCTGGTGCAGTACAACTATCCACCAGAGTATCAGGAACAAGCTTGCTGTTGACCTCTTTCTATTAAAAGCAATACGAAGGGAATAACCGAACAGGTATTGCTACAAGAAATAAGTGGTTGGAAGATTCGCTCCCAATGAACTAGTGTTTCCTCAGAGAATTCGGAGGGGATATTTCCACGAACCGCCTGGTCCTTCCGAGCAAAGGTTTGGCAGTTCGTATAGCGTCCAGATGGAGAAAGCAAATAAACATCCGGACTTTGGCAACAACTCTCGTTCATGCGCGGCGGGAAATATCATCATCATCATCATCATCATCATCATCATCATCATCATCATCATCATCATCATCATCATCATCATCATCATCATCATCGATAGCATGACATCAGTGTTCAACACCGATGCTGCTGTGTAGCCATGATTTATTTGAAAGCCCTATTGTAAAAAAGAGTAAAGGTGGACGGGCAAGGGACTTAGTGCCAGCTTACCACAATCATTCCGAGGTGCCTATACCTCCAGACATTCACTCAGACAAATAACCATCCGGAATTTGGTAACAGTTGTCTCTCATGCGCGGTAGGAAATCTGAAAATCGTCAAAGCTAGCACAATTTTTCCTTCAAGGTTCTACAACTCTTTTCTTCACCAATCGCTAGTTGAAGTAAAGAGTCTTAGAAAAACAACGATCCTGGTCTTCCCATCTCGGTCTGCCGAGTGCTGAACAGCATCAGCGTGTTTGAGTCTAGCGGTGCAACGGAGGTATTCGAGGCATAATCAAGCTCTTCAAAATACACCTCTTAACCGACGATTAAGTTAAAGGATCGCTCTACTACAGATGAGAGCTTTATTTATTCACAGGGGAAACATGAATGTGACGTAATGTAACCTTTTTCAGCGCTTCTTTATTCATTTCAGTTGTGTGTCAACGAATAATGTAAATCTAGGATATGCACCACATTTTTAGATCCAAAGAATCACTGGTATTTTTTCGGTTACCCCGATTTCATCACGATTACACCAACTAGAAAGTTCAGATTGTTTTGGCTTTAATACCGTACTGTGGAACTTTCTTTTCATGTCGACAATAGCAGGGTTATTTGTATTTAGATGAGAAGGGCTGCGGAGATACGGAGAGAAATTGTTTCCGTGTTAGAAGGGCGAGTATCATTGCAAAGAAAAGTCAACCTTTTTCCGGTCTAGGTTGTTCTTGTTTGCTTCATAATTCAGACTGTGTTTGGGGAAAGAACCACCATTCTGCACCCAATTGTTAACAGCCCAAGAGTTCTGTGATAGAAGAATCGTGGGGGAAACTCCAGACCATGGCTCGATACACATACGTGCTTTAAAAGGAGGATGGAGTTTTGCACACCATCATGACTGTTTGTTAATGCTAGATATCATGAAAACGTGTTTTTAGATTTCATAGATCCAGGAGTCCCTCGTCGGTACGACAAAATCATCATGATCTGCTCACAGCTAAATTGGAGTCCTGTGCATTGAAGAATGAAAGGACCAAAAGTGAGAAATGTTTATATGCATTAAGGCTCCAGCCAATTAGAATTGTAACTTTTGTTTAATGATTCACAACGAGAGCAAATGTACTCACTCACGCACAATGCTCAGCCTTGGAATTTTGCGCCCATTCTCAAACCAGAGTCTTTCACATCGACGACCCCACGTATTCCGGATGTGAATAGTCGTAAAGTTGGATTTCGCATCAACGTAGCACAAAATTCGTGCGCGACGAGCGCCTGGATCTTGTTGGTGCATGATCGGTATGGGATGGTCACATTTTTGGCTGGTGTAGAATAAGCGAAAAAGCCCCACTGGTTCATCTTCGGTCCTGGACAATAGGACTGCGTGTGCTACCAGCACACCAAAAAGGAACGGAAATATCAGGCGACCTGGAGATTGCCTCACCTTTTGATGGACCCCGACAGACCTATGTGATAGAAAGAGAAGGGTGAGAAAGCCATAATCGCATACTGGCGTTCACAACCGATTTCACTTTGATCCACCAGAATCATCGCTGAAATAAAAAATGTGACAAGTGGTTCCTTTGTTCGCTTTATTGTCCGTCTTTCGAAGTGAACCTTTCACAGGTAATATGTGTAGAAATGGCACGTACACATGAACTGCAGAAAACTTTGAGAGGGACAGGAAAGCACGCCTTCTTGTGCGGGAAGCTCCTCATCCCCCCAAAAGAACTCCAGTGGGTTGCAAACCTGTCTTGGTGGTCGGAATTTAGCTCTGTATTTATCTTGTCAGCCACTCTCCTAAAGTCCGCTCAGGACGCTGATGGGGAACAGTCCCACGAGGAACACTGAGTTTGTCCTACTGAGAGTGCGAGAACAGTCTCCCCAAGGCGACTATCATCTCCGTATTTATGGCAGCAGGGTTGCTGTCTCGTCGAGAATTAAAAATGGCGGAAATCAGGCGTCCTAAGGTTGACCATAACCTACGGGCACATTATTCAGTACGACCAAAGTACTTTTATTACCTAAGGGTCACCGAACCAGGTCGGTCCCCACTTTTTTGTAGGCTAGACATCTTAGTGGATTGCTGAACAAGTCCATTATCTGTATGCTGCTCTCTGCGGAAGGGTGCATCTTTGTTCTCACACTATGAAGCGAAAAGACAGAGACTTACTGCGGTGTTTTTGTTCATCGGCACCTCCTTCGGCACTTGCCTTTCATCAGCCCTTATCCGGGGCTTCAGATGAAACACCTAGTAATCAGCTAATTGGTTGGCAGACAGCGTTCTGCACAAATCTCTAAAGCTGCTGTGAGGTGCTGATGGTCGTACAACTTCCATGTTGGTTCTAGGCTTGCTGTTTCGCCCACTATGATATATCATAATTCAAGGTAGCTTGAGACAGTCCTTTATGGTGGAAATGTGGTAGAAGTTTTCACCAAATGTTTCACAAGGTCACACGACAATATTCGGGAGGGAGTGAGAAGCACCAAGCTATGAATTCTCGATCGTGATTAGCTGACATTATGATCACTCAAGGCTTACCTTCGTTTGGTTCGCGGCCCTCAAGTGATGTATCCATTCAATCAACGTAGTGTCCGGTTATTAAAGTGACTGGCCTCCGGACAAAAATACGATACAAATCCGATGTTTAATAGTGAAACGTACGCAGGACTAACAAAGAACAACTCGACATTCCGTCACCTTGATAAAGCTGTATGACAGAGTTGGCACTTACGCACAGATACCAAAAGTGCACTGAATCAGGCTTCTGTGGTGTCGGCTACTGTGATTGCTACATCGAGACATGGACGCTTCAGGGACTGCTGGTAATTCAGTTTATCAACAGTGTCCGGCAGAATCCTTTGGAACAAATGGATAGATAGAATCCCAAACACCGAATTCCTCTGGGTGGCGAACGGTGTTGGAGTTGAAGGCAGTCTGGTGCGAAACCAGCTCGTTGGGAGTCGGAACTCCCATCCAAAAAACTTGTTCAATTCAACTGAAGAATGCAGCTCAAAATCAAGGACGCCCAAAATTCCACTGCCGGAAACTGCTTCAGGTAATTTTGGGAAACTCTGACCCCCACTTTAGGTCATAGGAGAACCTGGCGTTCAACAAAAAATTGTTGCGGACCGATTTGGGAACGGCCTCTCATGGAAATGTTGGAATCTTTGAGAGGCGACGCGTCGTTGTGCCACTCAACTAGGCAGCCATACGGAAGGGTCTTAATCTCCTTAGTGCGGACTCAGTCATGTGATTTTGCAGATTCACGTGCCCTAACTAGATCAGTTTGTGGGACGTCAGGAGCACTTATCGGCCTAGTCACTATATCTGGAAGCGAGATGATTTTGCTGTTTTAATTTAATTTTTCCAGCTACTCTCATTAGCAGTGTTGGAGTTGGAATATCCCTTGATTAGTTACCACCACCTTGATGGTACGTTATTGGGAACTTTTGTTTTTACTCGCAAGATACTATACCAGAAGAGGTGAGGTTTTAAGCCGGAACTGAAAATAATTGGCGACAGACGCTGGTTTTATACGGTAAGTCATTGTCGCCGGTGTCCGTTTTCATGGCATCACGCCTAGACTGGCTGGTGGCTTGCAGCAAACCTCTGCACGTCCGCCTAAAATGTACATTCGTCAGTGATTTGACCAGCATTGACGGGTAAATCTGATTTGGATCCATGAGAGTGGGTGTGCGGTTGACTTTCTGGAATGTGTTTGCTTATTTCAGAGTACGACGTGTGCAATACATGTTCGAATGTCATTTCAGGCAGATTTCTGTTTACTTCCATAAGCCCTTAAATATTGTCATCTATCAGGAAGGTAACCACCGAAAGTTTACTAAATAAAACTGCATAAAATAACCATAAGTTGCTGAATAAAAATGTTTGCGAAGAGGAGCAGTCATGAAAGCCGGTTTATTCGACTCATTTTTTCAACACGTTCATGTCATGATGTCTCATAAAAATGACGACTTCAGCGGATCTAAGGAAAGAATAGAGAGTATCCTTGGTACATCTTCCATTCTCAGTGCTTGTACCATGTTAGCGCAGGTACAGGAGTTTAGATTCAGTCACCATTGTCAGCTGTAATAACCGCGTACTCGTCGTGCAGTGGTTGTAGCTGCCGTAGTTTCGTTCATCGATGTTTTTTTGGGGAGGGGAGGATGGGTACAGTGGGCTGTCAAGTGGGGGGTTGGTGGGGGGGATAGGTACAGTGGGCTGTCATGCGGTGAGGGGGTTGGAAAAGGAGCTATGCATTGAAGGCAATAGCTTGGATACACGAGCGCCATTGAGGGCGCGACTGGGCCATATCTGACAATGTCTCTAGCCATTGATGTGGCTCGTCTCGGGGTCCCCATCCAGGAAGACGGCAGTGACCAGCGCAGCTGAGTTTGCTGGTAATGGCTTTCATACTTCGCTGCCAACTCATTGTTTGACCGCCTCTGGCTCTCTTCCACCCTTCACGTGGTTGTGCTGTTTTTAGCCTTAAAATTTTTGTGGTAGTTAAGTTTCCCTGATAAATTTTTGGGTAAACTGTGACATCCCAGCATTGCAACTATTGGCTTGGTCGTTTTGAATAATCCTGTGCTGTTAAAGAAACATGTCTCATACATGCATGTCTAGGTCTACCATTCTCGATCTTGAGTAGTTGCACCTTTAGTGAAACGAATGTTACTTCAAACGAATTAATATGGTTAGCGCAGCGAAACATTCCTGAAATCCTTTATGTTTGCTCATCACAGTAGATCCCTCAGAACTGCAGACAAAGCGTAACTTATTCGGATGCATTTCCAAGATCGTTTGCTTACTGCATGCCTGGAATCTTTCGTTCTATTTCCATTCGGAAGGCACTTGTAAGTCTTTGAGGACGATTTCCTGAAACTGCCTGTTGACCAGTTTGCCGACCAGGCTACTAGCATCTAGCTGACTCTGAAGGCCGTAACAAGGTTTACTGATCGCGCCGATAGAATTCGGCTGCTGATCTATCGGGCCAGTGTGGAACGTGACGTGAAGCCGTGTACACTCTACCACAGCCAGTTCATCTATCGCCAAAATGCGTGAACTTAAGATCCGTTTCTAGGTTTTTGTGATTTTTTTTTGAAGTCGTCTACTGTTCCGCATCAGATTGGCATCGTCCAGCACTGTGCACAGAAGCATTCCTGAGTAAGATGCCAATGAGACTTTGTGATGCATTGCTCATAAGGTTGCCGAAAATTCGTCGACAGCCCACGACCGGTTTCTCCCTTTTTGGGGCTCGTCAGGTAGGCGCAGTCCCCGAGTTTCTGTCAACCTCATGTTCTACTTGAAACCAAATTGCACGAACTTAGCGAAATACACTCATTTGCAAACTACCTGACGAGCCCCAAGAAGGGTAAAACCGGTCATGGGCTTTCGACGGATTTTCAGCAACCTTATGAGTAGTACATTACAAAGACATACATGTATCGCGATTTCTCGAATATCCTAGCGGCTGAAACATGGGGCGGCCTGGTGCAGTACATTCAGTTGCCTGGAAACATCAAAAGCGAGTGATTCAGCTGGGTTCTAGGTGAGTCTCTCGAAAAACCAAATCAGTTTGCAAATGAGTGTGTTTCGCTAATGTCAATGTTCCTGTCTTCTTATTCTCGTCTACTAGGTAATTGTATCCAAGTTTTATGCTCATAAGATTCAGATAGTGACCAACCCTTGACTTGGCAGAGGAGTATGAAGGAGATCACGAAACGCTCGGGTGCTGTCGGTGCTACTCGCCTTCCAGGATGGGGACCGCGTGATCCTCACTGTGCCTGATTGGAGACACTACAAGATATGGCTGCCAACCAACGTCAGTGGCGTTCTTGTTGTCAGTTTCTATCCAGATCGCCTGAGTGAGTGTCTGGAGGTGTAGGCACCTCATAATGGTTGTGGTAAACTAGCACTAAGTCCCTTTCCCGTACACCTTTATTCTTTTCTATACAACAAGGCTTTCAATTAGGTCATAGTTGTATGGCAGTGAAGCATCGGTGTTGGACACTGATGTCATGCTATTATTATTTTATTATTATTTTGGATAAACGGATGTTAGAGGGTGACATTTTGTCAAAACGAGTCAGTTGGCTGATGGCAAACCTGCAGCTGATTCCAGAAAAGAGAAAGCCTTGAAGGAGTTTTCACCTTTGCGGAGGCTTCTGGTATACAGGTGTATACTTACGTTACATCTTTACTAGGAACTATGGGCTACCTTCGGAACCTTGCTTACTCTGACCAGCCCTTTGAAACACGCTTTTTCGTCTGCGTGTGTGTCACGTAACACTTAGATATTGACTTACTAGGTACCACTCACTGATTGTTTATCCGAACCAGACATAGGTTCTCATGAAGGACATTATAAAAATAACATTCAAAGCGTCTGACCCGATAATTAGCACACTTTTATCACGTCTGACAGTGATGATTTGTGGGAACATTTGGTCAACGCCTTCGATAGTCAACCATTTCGCTCAGTCATTTAGATTGCATTGGATCAGTCAAATTGTCTGATGAAAGGAGCCTTGCAATAAAGGGGATTTGTTTGTATGGCGTACAGCCGCAAAAGAAACCAAATAAACTAGTGCAACGAAGGCAATGCCTTTGAAGTTGGTTACTGAATATCCCAAGTTAGTAGTCCATGCAGGAACCAATGAGACTCAGCGGTGCTGCACGGCTGATTTACAATGGTGCAGTTTAGTTGTTCTCCAAGCTCACCTAATCTGGGCATTATAAGTTAGATTGTCACATCGTCCTCCAGAAAAATCAAGGGTTTTCGGCACGCAGTTGATATTGTCTGAGGTTATGCAACGCCAGATAGTAGTCTACAGGGAATTTAAGACTAAATTATCAAGATTCATGAGAGTATTCACGGACAGACCAATCAAGCGGTAGGAATATCACAGGAAGAGCTAGAAAGAATCCTCCTAATTGGGCGGAAAGAGAATTCTATGTGGTAATTCAAGTGAAATGGCGAAGTTTAAAGTTCAAGGCATTTTTCCGAACAATATATACATCACTTTGCCCTATATATTGGCAACATCCATGTGGGCAGTTCACAGTAACTCGAAAATATGTGTCCGTTATACGCCTCCTGTACAACTCACCTCGCGGACATACAGTAGTTTTAGCCCAAACGTTTGGCTTCACGTGAGTATTTAAACAGAGATCAATAATTGGCAAACCAATCAATCACACAGATAACAAATGGGGAATACCTTTGGTCTTAGCGAGTGATACAGCTGAAGTTTCTTTTCCAAGTCGATTTAAGCTCGTGGAGTTTAACTACCTCTTGAACCTGAGGAAGGATTGGACCGATGGTGGGCTGTTGAGGAGATTTTACCAGCTTAACAAGTGCTGTTATGTCAGTTTATGAACTCGTGTCAATTTGAACGTGATAACGTTGTGACACTCAGTCATAAGGCTTACAACGAAAACCAATAATCGCAAAAGTGACCTATATTTTTCACATCAATCCTAATGAAGCATAACATTTCCACCTCCGAAGCAAGTGTGTAACTTTAAGGGTGATTTTCACGGGTTTGCAAAAAACTAAGATCTCGGTGAAAACTGAGGCGAAGGAAGTGAACTTTCCAGGATGAGATTATAGGAGGGAGAATAATTCACAAGAGAAAAGAAGCTTCTACCAGGTCTCATTGAAAAGCAGAAAAATGCGTTGGGTATAAGTGTTTGCGGGATTCGGACTGCCCCATTCCTGTCCCTTAGCAGCTTTTCTGGCCCACTGGCACTGGATTCGAGTTTTCTTCCATCACCAATGCAACTGCTCGGCTGTGCCATCATACAGCCTGATGTACAGTTAGATATACTGTGGTTTGGCACCCGTTTCCCGGTTGACTAGGTGAACTTTTCGCGTTACCTGTCCGTTGACCTCTAGTCAATACAGCCAATGTAAGCAAACATCCGATGCGGCTGAGATTTGTGCAGTTTGCAGATCATTATCGTCAACAATCGAAGATCGGGTAGGAGGGCTAATGGCAGTATGAAGTTCTGTTGCTAAAAGTCTTTTAGCTGGAAGATTTTTTATTAGCCAGCAAGCTTTAACTAACGAGATGGTAAAGTTGCGATGTCAGCCGTTTGCTCTCTCATGAACCCGACTCTCTGGGTGAAAAATGTAACAGTTTAATCTTCGTCATGTAATACTCATAATGTTTCTGAAAATTCGCTGACAGCCCACTACTGGTTTCGCCCTTCTTAGGGCTCATCAGGCAGGCGCAGTTCCCGAGTTTCCGTCGAAATTATGTTCTACTTGAAACCAAATTGCCCGAAATGAGCGAAATGCACTCATTTGTAAACTAATTTGGTCTTGCGAGAGACTCACCTGGAACCCAGTTGAATCTCTCGTTTGTGATGTTTCAAGGCAAATGAATGTGCTGCACCCGGCCGCCTCATGTTTCAGTCGCTACGATATTCAAGAGATCTCGACGCATTTACATTCGTAATGCACTACTCACAACGTTGCTGAAAATTTATCGACAGCCAACGACCCTTCTTGGCAGTCAGCTGGGTTCCAGGTGAGTTTCTCGCAAAACCAAATTTGTTTGCAAATGAGTGTATTTCGCTAACAGTTTAGTTTGTTATTTTATTCGTGTGGTAGCCACAACTTGGCGTTTTACCTACTGATGAATGGTAAGTAGGTTGACTCAAGCTTGTTTATGCGTACCGCTGAAGAATGTCTGAAAGCAGTGTAAATTCTTCAGTGCGATTTGAATGATGACAAGAAAAGACAAGGAAACTACCAAGAAAAACGTCAAGGATGGGCCGAAGTGCAAGAAAGTATGAAGTGGGAAGCCAGGATCCAGGTAGGGGAAAGTGGAAGGGCCCAGAGCAAATCAATGGGAATCGGAATAAACTAGTTCACACTTCGTGAAGAGCATGGTTGTCCAATCTGAGTGAGCTCTATCAAATGAGACTTGAACAGCGAGCATGTTGAAGCGAGAAGATCAATTCATCAGGCATGATCAGTCTGTTGGTTTAAGTTATTTGGTTGTCCTTCGTTCACCAGCCGTTCTCCACATCTTTCTATCTGTCTTTTTGATCTAACCGTTGTTCCCTATGTACACCTTTACTCAGCAAGCAAACCAAAATGATTCCTTTTTAAGTATCGGGTATCTGTTCCGTATCCGTACTCTATGCCTCCGAAACACACGTACAAGACCCCAGTTCGACCATACTCTTACAACTGCTCTAACTTTTAATCTTTGTCTTTCTGGTGCTCCTGATTCAATGGTTAGTGGTCTCCACAATGTGGAAGTTATACTGAGTGGAACCGGATTCTAGTAAAGAGTTGTCTTTGCACTTTTCTGTTGACTTACTGAATTAACATCAGGGCGTTTCAGAGCAGTCAACAGTGTTTATTTGCTGTTTCACCGTACGTTCCAACAGCTACTATCTCTGAGACTGAGAAATTCGGCTTCTGTCGATAATCGTCGTGACTGATTTGGTCAGCAAGAAGTGCCGGTGATTTAAATGCTCAAGTCGGATGAATAAATCAGAAAGAAACCCATCTTGCTGGCATCTCTAGGACTGGTGGTCGTTGGCTTGTTCGCTGAGCTGGGCAATTTGATTGCAAACGTTTCATCACCAATCGAGGTGACATCATCAGTGCGTTATTGTGGAGTCAAAATGCCCAGTTCAGAGAACAAGCCAACAATCGTTTTATTTTAGTTCATCCCTCGCAATCCATTTGGAAAGAAATGAGTTGCTTACAAAACTCCTGCTTGCCAACAGCAAATTGGCAGCTTTAATTCTCAGCCTGCATAATGTGTAAACATTTTATGGTGCTCAGGACTAGAATGCGTCGTCAAGACTACGCTCATGTAAACTAAATTTACAAATGTGGTATTGGAAAGGGAATCGCGCCACTCCTGTGTCCTCAAGCGCTTTCCATGGGCATCAACAATAAAAATGCTTGCTGGATCTAGAAGCCAGTAGGGTAAAATCTATCGCACAAGCAGAAGCTCGGGAGGCAGTCCTTTGTAAAAGAGGTAGCAAAATTGAGCGCAATACAGAATTATGATACTTCGGTTTTGCCGATTTACCAAGCCAAAGAACAGAATAAATTCCCAGTCTCGAGTACTTCGAAGAAAATAAGTAAAAGTCACCTTGCGGACAAGGGTGTATGACTATCACGTACGGCATGAAGTTTGATTGCTTGACTTTCGAGACACCCATAGACACCACCGCCACATTAGTGCAATAGACAAATACAAAAAGCACCGACTGGATCCCGATTATTGGTTATTGATCAAGTGGGCGCAGTTGGGCGCACTGATGATATCTCCTCGTATGGTGACGAAACGTTTGCAAGCCAAATGCCAAGCTCGGCGAACAGATCAACAGTTAACTGATCAACAACCAATAAACTCACCCGAACTACCAATGGAATGAAGAAGGCCTTCACTGCGGAGTTCCTCATTAGAAAATGCCAACTGATCGGTTACAGACTATTGGACAGAGAAGTAAAACTCTCATTTGCATCTCATTCACAAAAATGGACATCCATCTTCTGAACGCGTCTTCTTAAACTTTCCCATATATTCATTGGCTCCACTCATTCATTGCTCAAATCCAAGCACGTGCTACAAAGCGACTCCACAAATTCCGCAACAGATTTCTCCTTTTCAAGAGACGCAAAGCGAATTTCCAAGAACAACACATTCTACTCGCATGCCTCCCCATCAGTAGTATCACCGTTACACAAATATTTCAACACATGGATCCCGATGTTTGGGCTTACTCCAGGAATCGCAACTTCCGGACATAAATCCCAAAATAGGGACTCGCTACTTGGATGGTACAATAGTCATACTCGGAAGAAGTAAACTGCAACGAACTACTTGCGTAATAAATGGCGTTTCTGAGGATATTCAACTCACAAAGGAAGAAGGAAATGATGAAAAGTTAGTATTCTTAGACGTTGTTGTCAAGAAATGGCCAAACGAGCAACTACAAAATGGCGACGCATGTAGATCAAAGTTTCAGCTATCACAGCAATAACCCAAAGTGTCACAAACGAAGCTATCTCCTTTTCAAGCGCATCGAGACGCATTTTGACACCACAAAGGTAAAAGTTAAAGGAGAGAAACGCTTGTGCAAAGTATTTTTTTAGGGAAATGGATACTTCAGGAACTTCATCTGGCGGACCCTCAGAAAATTCAACTAGGCCAACAAGGAGAGGACAAACGGATCACACTTCCACATACCGGGAGCAACTGTGAAACGGGTGTACCAGTGTTACGAGAGTTTAACACAACCGTGACCCGAAAGCCTGCGAACACCTTACGGGAGACACTCTCAAACCCAAAGGAACGATTGGAAACAATTATAAGGACCAACGTCGTATAAGAGATTCAGTGCAGCAACTGCGACAGCCAGTACGTGGGATAAAACAGGAAGGAAGATGCATGCCAGAACACATGAACATAGTTGCAGCCAAAAGGCGCGGCCAATTTTCACTCGTCCTTGCGCACAAGATAGGCACAAACTCGACTGAAGCAAAATCCGCCTATTGGCCAAAACAAAAAGAAGAAAGGAGCATGAACAGATGGAAGTGGTACAGCCAGTACGTGGGATAAAACAGGAAGGAAGATGCATGCCAGAACACATGAACATAGTTGCAGCCAAAAGGCGCGGCCAATTTTCACTCGTCCTTGCGCACAAGATAGGCACAAACTCGACTGAAGCAAAATCCGCCTATTGGCCAAAACAAAAAAGAAGAAAGGGCATGGATAGATGGAAGTGGTACCTTACTGGAAAGGTCATCAACGAGCACATTGAAATCGACCCTGTCTAAGGTTAAAAGAGAATTCCAGTATATTTCAAGGGCTCCGAAATTTCAGGATATTTTTCGCAGTCACCCTTGAGATGTCTCTAGTACCATCCAACTGGTCCAGTGGCCAATGATTCACATTGCAGACTTCTCTCTCTCTCCAAAGTTCTGAGTGTTAATCCAGTTTCAGCTAAATTCAATGCATCGTTTTCTTTTTTGTCAAGTGTTGTATTCTTCTTATTGGAGTCAACCCTTTTTCTCTAATATTAAGCGGTAATAGTGTGTCTGTATTCTCCTCAAAAACACTAAATATCCCGACGTGTCGACTATAAACCTTCTACTGAAGGCGTTCACAGCATGGCTAGATATCTCTAGCAAATTTCGTTACACTCGATTCGAATCTCTGCCAGAAATGTATTCAAAGTGCACGTCAATTCATGTCTAACAAAAGGGCTCGAATTGCTGAGGTCTGTCCGAAGCTACAACAAAATTTTGTTGTCCTTCTCAGTCCACATTTCCAACAGTCGGAATTACTACACACCAAAATCTCAAAGGCCTAGCATAACGTGATATCTGATAAACCCTTTGAGCCTCACCCCGAAATCGATTCTCCTATACTCTCAGCCGTATTGATAAAGCTCTAGACTGAAAATTCACAACCTGCAGAATACACTATAAGTTAAAATACACTAAATTGTATAAGTCGATTGTATGGAGTCACCAGTGCGTCAAACCGTGGTGGTAGCTTTTTCTGTGTCCATGCCTTCGCAACCCCTCCAATGTCCAGCGCACGTGCGCACACAGGCAACCAAGCAAGCCCAATTTTCTTGGTTCAGGCAGACAAACTCAAATAAAAGCGCGGCTTCATCAGGTAAACAGTTTATTCCAAGCACTGGCTAACCAGATCTCCTTGACCAGCCCCGAGAACCACACACGCACACATACGCGTAAGTGTAACTACCCGTGACAGATGAACTGCCAGAAGACGACAGAAAATAATAAAACGATGGTTCGTATAAACACCTTTTGGAAGATGATTCACTATACTGCGAAGTCCCTCCTCTACCCCCCACGTCCATCCGTCCACACACTGTGATAACCATAAGGATAACCTTTTGGTTCGCAGTAAGATGACCGAAATACGATGTTAATGTTAACCTCTTGGTGTACGCACAGGTTGCGGTGGCGGTTGGTTTGATAGACTTTCTTGACGCCTGGATGGGACAAAGGGTAAACAAGACGCCTGTCCTCTCCAACGTGTGTGTGTGTGTTGGTTAGACTACCCAAGTGATTTTGGTGGATTAGTTAGCGGGAAATCCTCCACCACCTTGGGAAGCGGAATGCGGAGGAAAACGACTTTTATGTCTGAAAAACATGTACCGGAATGGTTGATAATATTGGGCATTTACTTACAGCGTTTTGCCAGCCTTACTGTGATAGGTTAAATCAAAGTGAAAAGAGTATTACACAAAGTGTCTTTCTCAATACTACAGTGACTGCAGCATTTCGTCGTTTCAAAATCGATAGTCTTGTCTGAATATTCTTTGACTGATGAATTTTCATAAGGTCTACAAACTGCCAGGCGCTTATTCCAGCTGGATAAGGGTGAACAAGCCAGGCTGAACACTTTTCATATTGTTCTGATGTGGTTATTCTTGTTGGTTCAAATGGAAAGAAGAACCAGTGAAGCCTTAAAGCGTGCCTTTCTTTGGCCTTGATTTGAACCCCGGAGGCGAGTGTGTCGCCCCTATTGTATCAGTGCATGTCAAAAGAACCGGAGTTGTCACATGTTCGAGTTCTGTGGTGGATAGTTTCCCCAATGAGATTTCAGTGGGTATGAACGTTCTCAGAACGCGACAAGTTTTCGAAACATACTTGTAATTATCTAAGTAAGCTATATTAGTTGGTGGTGGCTATTCAATGGACGTTTATCAGGTGTGATCCAGTAGTGTGTTAGCAAATCTGCAGAGAGCCATCAGAGTAAGACAAAAACAAACTCTCAACGGGGTTAACTGACCAATCCGCGTACAGTGACTTTAAAAGCGGACTCAGCTAGACGAAACGGCTGCAGCCATCCTAACACCACTTATGGATTCAGGCATCATCAGTCCGGCAGTCTACTTAACGGGTGGTTTGAATGTGCCGCTGCTCTGTTCATATACAGTGGCCGGAGAATGTTTCCACTATCTAGCTTCTGGAGTATGTGCAACTCCTAACAAGCGTCTGTTCGAAAAATCAGGGCACGGCCAACGGATCACCTGTCAGCTGGATGTTTGAGCTCAGTGTGACCTTGAACCTTATATTACGCTAGAGGCAAATGCATTCCTTATCTCGTGCATGAGTATTTAGTTCTTAGATCAGTATTTGGTTGGATTGGTGAACCAAGCGTCATTGTGCGGATTTCTCCACTTAGTGAGGAGCGCATTCATCCCAGGGGTGATGGCGATCAATTAACATAGTACTAATGATTGGGTTGTGTATTCTATGTACGGATTTGGTACACAGATTTCTGTAAGGAGTCTATGGGTTTTTCAGTCACTGTTGGTGTAATTATTCGAATGCATATACGTCCAAGTTTATTAAAAGTATTACCGCTTTATAGACACGATTTTCTTGTTCCCGTCTTGGTAGATAGGGTTTGCACGGAATTCCTTCGACAATGTTTCATCGCGTGACATGCGCCTTGTATGTATTCCGTTCAGCTGTACCTCAAGATTCTCATAGGGTGATGGCCCCAAAATGCGCCATTCGGATTTTCGTTGTCGATACGGAATTAGAGGACCTTTATCTTGCCAATGCTTTCATCCTAAGATAGTTTTGCGCGTCTACAACCGGTTACTAGAGTTTGTCTCCAGTGTTTTGCCCGTTAAAAAAGCTCACGTTACTGTAGCAAAACACGCCATTGTTTTTTATAGCTCGGGTTATGGGTGATTTTGCAATCTCTTCTCAACTATGGTCGTAAAAAGACGATACTCGGTAAAAGTTCTCTTCGCTGGTACCTAGTTGTGTTGGTATTCAGCCTTACACAAACAAAATCCCAGATCCGTGCTTGGAATGACGTATTATGTGTCAAAATGCAATCCTTTTTAGGGATAGCTTGACTGGGGAGCTTTGACTGAATAGCTTTACATGAGAGACACTGCTGCTGCTGAGGCGGCCTGTGTGCAGCACATTCAGTCGTAGAATATCATAAACGAGAGATTCAGTTGAGTCTCTCGTGGAAACCAAATCGATTTGCAAACGAGTGTATTTCTCGAGAATACTACTGTTACTTTTGATGTTTGTGACTTTCGGAATTCTTTTTACAAACCAAAGACAGAATAGAAGGCGTGGAACTGGCAAGCGTGTGGAGAACGGTCTTGAGTCCATCGAACTAACACATGTTCGTGCGCGAATATCAGAGGGAGGAGTAGTCATCGTCTGGGTCCCACTCAACCTTACGCACCTCCCCCTCCCCCTCCCCCAACTAAATTGTCATATGCCCACCAAGATCAAGGAACATCGACCAATGGGACCCGAGATTAATCATCAAGTGAAGCACCCTGAAGTGGAAGATTAAGGAACAAAAAGCGATTGGAACTAATTTCAAGTAGAACATAAGGTTGACGGAAACCCGGAGACTGCGCCTACCTGATAAGCCCCAAAAAGGGGCGAAACCGGTCGTGGGCTGCCGATGGATTTTCAGCAACCTTATGAGCAGTACATTACAAAGATATACATGTACCGCAATATTTCAAATATCGTGGCGACTGAAACATGAGGCGGCCTGGTGCAGCACATTCAGTTGCCCGAGAACATCATAAACGAGAGGTTCAGCTGGGTTCCAGGTGAGTCTGTCGAAAGAACCAAATTAGTTTGCAAATGAGTGTATATTCGCTAATTTGAAACTCCTCCAACCCATCAGTTCAAGATTTTGGCGACCACACTAGCCGGCAAGAGCCGTTAATTGAGACTCAACACTGATTTAGTGTGATAATCTGAAGAGGACTTACTGATTGGTTACCCTTCTGTCTTATAACCTGGCCAATTTGATGACCTGTTTACTTGGCCTGATGAAGCTTTTGTGTCAAAAGCGAAACGTTGCCCAAATAAAAACTACCGATTGTTTACCAAGCTCTTCTGAAATCAAAGACAACTTAGGATTTTCCCATGTGAACTCCATCCAACGTGAATTCAGTTCCAAGCAATTTCGCGGTGAGGCAATTGCAGCTTTAGTTTTGCTTCTGTTATTCTCCATTCATATTCGTCACAAGAATTGTAGTGGGATGGAAAGTAAGTTTAAGTCGGGCACAAACCCAGTAATCGCAACGTGAATACTGGAGTTTGATTGTCTCCTAAAGATCTGCCATGCATACTCTGTTTGACAGTCTAGATTTTTCGAGCAAGTTCAAAATTTGCAATTGCTGTACAACCAAACTGACAGGCAAAATATTTGGGCCAAAGTGTGCAGGTATTATTTTTCGCATTTAATGATTGCTAATAGGTGATGAAAGCAATTACAACGGACTAAGTGGATTAATCAATATGTCCAACTGAGCAACATTTTCCTCTGATGTGTGGCCGGTGGTCAACGTGTAATCATCCGGATAATTGGCCTGACACAAGTGCCAGGGAAAGCTGGAGATTGGCTGCAGCCTCAGGTAGTCAACCGTTTGGTCAGACTCTTCGACAGAGGATTTCATTTAGTCAGGTTGTAATCGCATCCCGGGGCCCCTCTGGTTCGGGAGTTCGAGGCCGCTAACCTAAATAACCGGACACTAGAGCGATGGCTAACTTCCTTAAGGTTGGGATTACTAAAAAATCTGAGACGTATTTCTGAACTTTTCTGGATGTGAAATAAAGTCCGGATTTGAATAGATCAATAGTTTAGACTTAAGTTTTGATTAACTGGAGCGGTGTTGTACTAAACCGCAAACAGATGTTACTCATAATTTTCATTAGTAGTATGCACGATCGCACCCGAAATCGAAGTGCCAATTATAGCCACCACCACACTTTTGGAGTCTTCCAAATAAGTACCCTCTGAGAATGCATGCCCCGTATATTGACTGTTTCCAGCAATCAGCTGATTCACGTTGAGTTACGCGCAAAATCCCAAAAGCTGAATGGTTCAATTGAGGTTTATCCACAAATGCGCTACCATAGATACAACACAACACAACACAATACTAAAATAATAAATTAATACAAACCCCACATAGTGGGACTACACCGGATTCTATACACAGGCTTAGGAACTGCCAATTTATAGCGGGATCCCAAAGTCCACATAGACTCAAGGCAACGTGGCTGGAAGATACCAAAATCACGTGTTGATTTAAACAACTCTTGCGATGTCAAGGTCAAACAGCGGTTGACGTTTAGTTCAAAACAAGGAAAGCAATTTAGGCGCATAACGAAACCACAAAACGGGGAACCAGGTTGTACCCAATGAAAATGGCAGAAAAGGATCAACACTCAAAAATTGTAAAGTGCTGCTTGAAGACCAAGCTTAATACCTTTTAGGTGAGCTGATCAGGTGGTGAAAAGAAAACCTCAGTGGTGGCCGAGTTACAGATGGTGTTATTAGTCTATTAGGGTGAGTAGGGATTGCTTTTTCGAAGCTGCAGCCATAAAGTTTTAAACGTGTAATGCTACGCTGCATTCCACACTACTACATGAGCCAGAAACCTGAGCACCACCAACTGAAGAAGATAAACCGTCAGAAATTCACTGTCAGTGTCTTTGTAGCTTTGTCGGAATCGTTGGATCACTACTGCCGAACAAGTTGGATACTACTGACAGAACTAACACGTACATGACGGATGAACTATTAACATCCGACGGCCACAGGACTTCTTTTGTTGGCAGGCTGATTTCCTTGAACAGTCTTTTCTGGCTAATCGCGCATACAGTAGAAACGGTAAAGGAACGACAAACTTTTGATATGGCAATGAAGTCATGATCAGCAGCCTCAGTTTCTTTGACCATTGCGTTTGTCTCAAAGTTGGACTGAGAAACAGGGCAAATAAATGGTTAGACAACGATGGACATGTTCCGGTGGAGAACACAATAACGTGCGTGCACTCAACCCTTCGCGATTGATGCACAGGTATTCTTTGATTTACCAATCAATAACGGGCACCAGTCACCACCTCTCAACTTGCTGATTTAGCGATACTGGAAACCTCGTCCAGTACGTAGATATCATGTTCCATTTTTCGTAACATCAGGGGACACACAATTGTTCAGAGTATACAGCTGCTTGATGTCTTTAACCAGAAGAAGCCATTGGATAGACAAACATTAACTCCCGGACAGCCCTGCTCTGTTTATTTGACAGTATGTCAAACGATGAGTTGTACACTCCTGATGAGCCAGAGTGCAACTATCGAAGTGTGGCGCTGAATAACCGCAAATTTTCCATCAATGTTCACGCCTTGATAAGGCTGGAAGGAAAACTTGGGTGAATCTTCCTCTGCGTACCAGTTGTTTGGTGACAATGCAGACTGCGTGATCGTCGATTCTTATTTGAAAAAACACGAAAGAATATGAAGTGACGATACTTAATCGGTTTTTACAAGTCTGCCGGTTATACCGACCAGTTTGCCTTTTTTAAACTAGTATTTTCCTTGGTCCCCTCATCATCATCATCGACAGCATGATACCAGAACACCGATGCTTCGCTACCAAACCTTGTTCCCTTCAATGAATGGCAGTTTATCTCTTTCTTTCAGAGCACTGGACAACGAAACAAAGCTATAGTTACTGTACAGCATATGTACCGTTGACAGATGACGATAGGAATCTAGCTAATTCTAAACAATAACGTCGAAAAGTCCCAACGATCACACATCGTGCCAAATTACGGTTGGATTGCGAAAAGGCCTATAACGCTTTGACGCTTAAAAACATGCTTTGATATATGTTTGCATATTTAAGACCAGGTGGATCGACTTAATCAAAGAACCACTCAGTTTCTCAGTCATCATTCCGATCGTTTTATCGCTGGGCTGGAAGTAAACGGGAATGCTTTGGCAATCACAAAAGATACGGTACATGTGGTACACCGTGTCAGTTATTCAGGATGAGACCAATGGAATCAGAATCACATTCAGATCAGTCAGGGACTACGGCTGATCACAACTGTTCATTCTCACCCTATACATTTCGGTCATAGGGACTTGGTCATGCACCGTTTGCTCTTGTGACTAAATGCAAACATGTTATCTGCCGAGTGGCCAACTAAGCTGCTTTTCAACTTTATGGTCTGAATTTCGTTATCTGGCCCCAGCGAACACGTTCTTTTTTTGTAATGTCATCTACACTGGCCGCCTGGTCGTCATCCATACTGTACAATTGGTACTTGCGTGCCATGCAGTCGCACCGACCAGTTGGTACAGCGTCCTGCCTTCCTGACTTACTCAAACTCGTACGGGCGTCCGGTCTGTTCGACACTGGCGGACGTAACTATTAGACTTTAACCTTCTCTAGAGTGTTTTTACGTTGGGAACCAATCAACAGTCAATGCACAAGTGCTCCAAGATCGGTTCCGCTGCTCTTGGAGCGACGAATCCTGCTCTTGAAATTGTCATTCCTAAATTTGTAGTGTCACAGTTGACGGTTGACTGAAATTACCACAAGGACTTCTATTAGAAGCCCAGCTTTCATTGACTAAAAGACACAGACCAGTCGGGAAAGATGTAGTTTGTAGATCTTTTACTTACCCATTGTTAGGAAACACATCATAGGTTAGCAGAAAGTAGCCGCTCTTTGAAGGTTAATTCAAACGGAATAAACACTACGTGTCGGTGGTGTATGCCATAACGCTTTGAATGTTTACGTTTCTTTGCGCTTGGACAAACTACTGAGTATTGCCACAATTAATGTTTAGATGTGCTAAGTGTGGTGAAAAACAGACAAACTGGGACAAAGTGATTTAAAAGTGTTCTGTGGTTAGTTCTGTTGTTAGTTTGGGTAATTCAAATAGCAGTCTGACTCCAGCTTGACACTTTTCATTTGAGCGTGCAGCGAACTGCACTTTGGACTGTAAGATCCACTGGACGAATTGCACTCAGATGTAGCAAATATATCCCGGTTAGACTTTAGGTCATGAAAGGTCCGTTTATGATCGCTGGCCGTTTGTCTTAGAACACTACCTTACTAAAGGAAAATGGTTACAACGGTTGCAAAAATAAAATTGGGCACACTTTTGGTCAATTTGACGAGATTATAGACAGCATTACGTCTACAGACTCCAAAATGGCCACTGGTAAAGAACACAATGCTTTAACCAACTTCCAGCTAATTGCACCCGAATATTTGGCGTAAAAATATGCTATATATGAGCCTAATTCCTTGTCAGAAAAAAAACAAATTTTCAAAAACCTTTGAAATGACAAACTGTTCCCGTGGAGAAGTTTAAAATGTTTTTTAAAGGGCAAGTTATGTCTAGTTTTGACGTATTCACAACGATAGTATTGTTTGGTTGGCTGGCGGAAATAAAAGTTCCTAAGAAAATTTGCGTGAGAGCTGTGACAGCCTTCTGACATAAAACTACGAATCAAACACCTGCTAAGA